GAACCGAGTAAAGGGCAGTCCTACAACATACCAGGTATCATGTTAAGCACTTTACAAACCATGTTACAAAAGATGAAGATACTTGAAGTTTAGGAAAATTAGGCAGCTTACCTAAGATCACACAATTACTAGTGGGACACCTGGCAGGCTCAGTTGGTAGAGCATATGGCTCTAAGATCTTGGGGTCTTGAGTTTGAGCCCCATGTTGGGTGCTGATTACTTAAAAATAAACAAAAGAACTCACACCTACTAGGACCAATGTCCCAGTCTGACTTTGGACATGGCCAAATGCAAAGAGAAGGCTAGAAAGCAGAATCCAGGGTACTGAGTGCCATCCTAAGGCATTCAAGACTCTATACCATTAGCAGGAACAAAGGACCATGGGAAATTTCTAAGGAACACAGCACCATTTGAAGTCTCACAGGAGGATTAATCCAACAGTGTAAAGCAGAGGTTCTTCAAGTATGGTACCAGGACCAAGAGCATCAGCATCTAGGAACTTCATCCAGAAAGGCAAATTAAATCCTCAGATCCACTCCAGATCTACTAAATCAGAAACTTGGGATGCAGAGCACAACGATCTATTTTACAATCCCTCCAGCTGATTACGATGCATGTTAAAGTTTGAAAACTTTTGGTCTAGATAAGAAAGATATTATACAAATAATTCACTGGGGCTTTTGTTTTTTTATTTTTTAAATGTTTTTTATTTATTTCTGAGAGATAGAGAGAGAGAGAGAGAACGAACAGGGGAGAGTCAGAGAGAGAGGGAGACACAGAATCCGAAACAGGCTCCAGGCTCTGAGCTGGCTGTCAACACAGAGCCCGACGTGGGGCTCGAACCCACGAACCACAAGATCATGACTTGAGCCGAAGCCGGATGTTTAACTGACTGAAGCCAGTCAGGGGAGCCAGCCAGGCGCCCCTCACTGGGGCTTATAAATGAACCATCAAGTGGCGAAAGAGAAAAACCTAGGACATGTGAAGCCAAAGTCAACTATGATAAAGAGAAACAGGAACAATAGGAGAAAGGCGACTGGGACCTCTATGGAAATATACTCAGTTTTGAAAATGTCACGGTGGAGAAGCCAGTAAGGTACTTCAGAGAAGACACCAGTAGGCTGCTGAAAATTCAGAAAGAACTCAGAAATTTGGTCTACAGATAACCAATAGAATTCCTCTGCACAGACACAATAGGCATCTATATTCTACATAGAAAGAGTGGAGGGAAAAAGAAAGAGAATTGTCGACACAAAACTGGGAATGTCTACATTTAGAAGGTTAAACAAAGAACCACATGAAGTGAGGGAAGAAAATACAATAGTATTTTTCTTAAAAAAAGAATATTAATAAACACCACTACCACACACAAAAAAAGAAAAACACTGACACAAAAAATTAAACACTAAGCTAACAGATATCCTTACTTCTTTAAAAAGTTTTTTTTTTTTTAATTTTTTTTGAGACAGAGAGAGACAGTGTGAGCAGGGGAGGGTCAAAGAGAGAGGGAGATACAGAATCTGAAGACAGGCGAGGCTCTGGGCTGGCTGTCAGCACAGAGCCTGACGTGGAGCTCGAATCCAGGAACTGTTGAGATCATAACCTGAGCGGAAGTCAGATGGTTAACCAACTGGGCCACCCAGGCGCCCCTAGATATCCTCGCTTCTAAGTAATCCTTGTCTTAAAAAAAATTAGCATGGGGGCTCTTGGGTGACTCAGTAAGTTAAGTTTACGACTTCGGCTCAGGTCATCATCTTATGGTTTGTGAGTTTAAGACCTTGCGTTCGGGCTCTGCACTGACAGTGCAGAGCTCTCCCTACACACCCCCTCCAAATAAGTAAACTTTTAAAGATTTATTTACCTAGCTCTGCTAAAATAGGAAGCTACCAAGATTAACACAGATTTCAACCTTGGAGAATTTAGTTTAATTCACTGCTTTCTAAATTGAGCTATTAACTACATTATATAGGAAGGTTTTTAAAAACATGGTTCCAGAATGATTTAGTAGGAATGCCGTGAGCAGTATTTGGGATCCACTGTTCCAATATATAGTTCATGATTATGGAATCACCACCATTCAACTATTTGTCATCAAGTACTCTGCCACCAGTTCCGAAATGGTTTGAAGTACCACTGAGAACTCCTGACAGAAATGGCTCCACTTAACCTAATTCAAGTAATTTTGATGATCAGTTGAACATGGGAATTCCTGGTCATGATAAAGCTTCTAACTTGAAATTTCTAGGTATTTTTTTTTAGTCTGTTAAACATCATTAGGACAGATTTCCTCATTTTTAATGCCACTGTGAAGGTAGCAGCCTTGTTCTTAAGTTATTAGTAAAATTTGTTTCAAATTTCTATTACTTATTGAGCTGAAATGGCCTTATTAACCACATTCTGCAAATATCTTGAATTCTAAAGATGTGAGTTTTGAAAGAATTGAGTTATTTAGCACACAACATAATTTTTAGATGCTATTCTGAACAGTTAAAGTTTTATAAGAGAAAACCCATTATTCTAACAGCATGCCTGTTTTTGATAAAATCATGCTGGTTTTGATAAAACCTTGTATTAAATTTGCCTTCACCTTTGCATTGTCATTTCCTCTTGGGAGCCTTTCATGATATCCTAAATTGAGGTGATTTTTTTCCTTCCTCTGATAATTTGATCTGTGCCACTATTAGGATATTTTTTACTGTAATACAGTAGGCCTCTCCCTCCCCCCCCAATCCATCACTTTGGTTACCCCTAGTCAACCACAGTCCCAACCGGAAGTAGGTGATCTTCCTTCTGACTTAACATCAGGTCAGTAGCAGCCTAATACTTCATCACAAGGCCCCCATCATTACCTCACCTTATTTCATCACATGTACATTTTATCTTCTCAACATCACGAGAAGGGTGAGTACAGTGAGAAATTTTGATAGCCAGAGACCACATTCTAGCAGTCTTTATTATGGTATATTATTAAAATCACCATGTTTTATTATTAGTCTCTTATTGTGCTTACATTGCTTAAATTTTATCAGTTATGTATATATAGGAAAAAACACACAAAGCGTTCAGAACTATCCATGGCTTCAGGCACCTACTGGGGATCTTGGGCCATATTCCCTACAAACAGGGTGTGTGGGGGGGAATCTACCATACTCTATATGCACAAGAAGTCAAGGCAGGCAAGGGGTCTTATCTCAGTTTGCACACCCTGATATGTGGCACCTACCAGACCCTCAATAAACGTAAGCTAAGTAAAATACTATTTCATCTTTTTAGAGGTAAGCTTCTCACGTGTAAGACATACACAGGATTAATCTTTCACTGTGCATAATTCCCTTATATAAAAACCACCCCATCCTCAGGTATCAGTTCTAAATATCCTAAGTATCTCTGTAAAACTGCTCTTTGCACATATATCTGTAATTATTAGTCTACATCAACCTCTTCAACTAACTAGACGATGGCTTCCTGATGGCAGGTACCACGTCATTTACGTCTTTGTGTTAACCAGCTACTGCCTAGAGGTTCAAACGTTTTGCTGAAAGAACTGAACTGACTTTTTTGAAAGCGGCCACATTTTACATTATTTGGCCAACTACAGTTATAACAGGCTATTCAAGTCCAACTACAGTTATAACAGACTATTCAAGTCATATCAGTAAAAGAAAGCCAGTTTCCCCTTATCAGCTAAATTGCAAGACTATTTTTACATTTTGTTTGATTTTTTGGCCTAGAAAAAAACGTCACCAATAGGCTCTGATCGCACGCCCTCTCCGGGCGACGGGCGGAAAATAGGGAGAACCAGTGAGAGAAATCTCCACTGAGGAGGCCACAACGAGATTCAAGGGATTCACGTCACCTGGTTACATCTGGAAGCCACTGTGCAGTTAGGCTAGGCCACTCCAGGGCATGGGTCATCACCAAATCGTAAAGAAAAGGGGTGTTCTTTTTCCATATTTTGTACTCTTCGTTGATCACACGTTCTTCTACTGCGTCATCAAAGGCTGCTAAAAAGTTAAAAACAAATTAAGTTAGCGAACAGAAACGGACACCGAGGAACCACTCCCGAAGCTGGCGGCACGGCTCGAGTCTAGATTCTGAAATGGAGACGTGCCTCGATCTCCCCTGGGCGGAGGTACCGACCCCCTCTCCGCCTTCGCGGGCCCGCCACCACTCCCGGGCCGGTCACTCCGTTAGGCGTTCGGGCGCCGGTGCCGAGCTCCGGGGCACGCGCCCGTGCGCGCTAAGTCCACGCAGCCGGCCAGGAGGCCCGGGCACCGGCCCCCGGGATACGGAACGGTGGAGGCACACCCGGGAGAAGAGGGCCGACCGACAGGGAGCGCGGGGAAGGATCAAACACCCACCCCCCTCCCGCCCCCCACCCCCGGCAGCTCCACGCCGCGGCGACAGGCCTCCGCGCCGAAGGAACAGGCGCGCCGTTAGCCCGCCCCGCGCGGCGATTTCTCCTCACGCCTTCGATGGTGGGAACAACACTCAAGAGTCGGGCTTGCCTTCACTGCTAGGCCCTGTCGAGGCCGCGGCGCCAGCCCGGCATTCCCGCCCTCCTGGGGCGACCCCAGCACCCTCACCTTCCTTGTCGGCCATGGCGGGCAGGCAAGCCGGGGGGATCCCGGGGTCGAGCGTTGCGGGAGGGGCGGGGAGGCTACGGGCGCTCGCTCTGCGCGCGCGGCCTCTATTGTTTCCTGCTGCCCCTGCGTGAGGGCCGACTCGCGCACCTTCGCGCCAACACTGGCCAATCGGAGCGCACCGAACCGTGGGGTGGGCGGGGAAGCCGCTTTCACAGCCTATCCAGACGCACAGAATCGCTTTCTGCGGGGGGGCCCCGGCGCGGGCCCCTCCCCTGCCCCCACACGGTTGGGAGCCGACTTCCTTCGATTGCGCGCGCGCGGAGCTGGTGGGAGTGCGCCCGCCGGGTCACGTGAGAGGTTTAGTCCCCACTCTCCAGGGGGCAGCCATTTTCTTAAAGGCTGTTCAGCTCGCGACACTTTCATAGAATTCACATGAGAAATCTAGGGTGCTTTTCTGTCTGGTTATCAACTCTGGCAATGGGGCAGAAAGAAAAGGCGTCCTCCACTCAGACATAGGGGTGTCCAGCTCAAGTATTTACCTAATCCGAGGTCCTCCAATTTACTTGTTTCCTTGGTTCTTAGAACTGATGAAGCAAAGGCAGAGAATGAGGTCTAAGCCTAGTAAAGACGTGCTTCCACCGGCGGGTCCTAGAAGTCTTAGGGTAGAAGTATACCTGTGAGAATGGAGTTCTGGTCCTTTAAGAGTGCGTGCCAAGGGGCGGAGTCTAGGACGGAAGTTGTAAATCAGGGCCGAAGTCCGGCTAATGAAGGGCGGAAGTAGAGTGTTCAGGGTTGCAATTATGGCGCAGGAAGAGGAGGATATTCGGGATTACAATTTGACTGAAGAGCAGAAGGCAGTCAAGGCCAAGTATCCTCCAGTCGTTCGGAAGTACGAATGTGAGTAGGTTGCTCAGTTGTTTCATGCCTTCTTTCCTTGCCCAGGTCTTCTGGCCTCTCTTGCTTTACCCCATAAGGTACTTCAGGCATGATTCGTGTTTCCCCCTGTATTGTAGGTAGTCGTCCGGGCGATGCTGAAACAAAAAGCTCTGTGGCTTGAGAGTCGGGAGCTGGGCTGCCGCATTTAGTCTCTTGAACTCTTTCTACATATACCTCGTCACATTTACATCCTAGGAGTTTTACCAGTGTATTCTAAAGATAACCATATTTTCAAGCGTTTGATGGGTTGTCGCCCCTACGTATCTCCCGACAGTGGGATGGTTAGAGTGTGGTTAGATTCGAAGACTTAAAAAGCTGGGTAGGGAACTTCCAACTTGGTGTTTTACCTGGGTCGTGTATTAAAAGATCTGGTTTGGTAACGTAAGGCAAATCACATAACTTCTTTGCTCCTTAGTCCCTTTATCTGAGAAATAAATGAGATAATAGTAAATGTGAAAATATAGTGCAGACTCTGATCTTCTAATTAAACGTTTAGCTATTATCCCTAAAGGTTGCTGTGGTTTGGGAAGCACAAATCTGTTACTTTTCTACTTAAAATATCTCATTAATTTTCCATTGTCCTCTGTAGAGTCTGTTTATAATGGCATACTAGATTCTGTACTTTCTGAACTCTCATGTATCTCCCTAGCTCATTTTTCTTACTTAAAAATAACTTTCAAAAATTGTTTTTAATAAGTCTTGTACCAGACTCAAAAAGTACAACAGGTATTCAGTGTGAACAGCCTTTCTTTCAGTCCTAATCTCCAGCCACCTAGTCTTATTCTGTAGGTCGACAGTCCGTACCATTTTATTATGTATACAAGCAAAAAAGTTCTAGCACTTTAATTTATTTAACCAGTTTCCAGTTGATAGACATGTATGTTATTTCTAGTCTTTCGTTATTAGAAACAATGGAGCAGTGACTATAATCGTGCATCCATTGTTTTGCACATGTGCAAGTGTATCTGTAAATTTCCAGAAGTTACATTGCTTTGTCAAAGGATATGTGCATTTTTTAAAAATTTATTTATTTTGGAGGGGGGGCAGAGAAAGAATCCCAAGCAGGCTCTGCACCATTGGCCTGATGTTGGTCTCGATCCCTCCCACCACGAGATGGTGACCTGAGCCAAAATCAAGAGTCCAACGCTCAACAGACTGAGCCACAGAGGCATCCCAGGATATGTTCATTTTTAACTTTAACGGTTTTGCTAAATTGATCTCCAGTGACATTGTACCAGTTCATACTCTCACTATCATTGTATGAGTGTGCTTTAGCCTCACACTTCTACCCATTTACCACATTACCATACTTTCTGGTCTTTTCCAATTTAAATATCTTGTTATATTAGTTGCATTTTTCTTATTATAAGTGAGGTTGAATGTACTTAAGTATGTTTGGAGCTATTTGTATGTCCCCTTCTGGGATGTGTATACTCATATTCTTAACCCATTTTTCTATTGGGTTGTTGATCTTTTTTCTCTGCAGAAATTTATTTTTATGTAGTGAAATTTATTAACTGTTTTATGGCTTCTGGGTAGTTTTACGAAGGCTTTGTCCACTCTGAGAATGTAAAATAATTCTCCTGTATTTTCTTCTAATACACTTGGAAATGAAAACTTTTTTTTTCTTTAAGTAAGCTCTCTGTCCAATGTGGGGCTTGAACTCACCACCCTGAGTTCAAGAGTGGCATGCTCTACCAACTGAGCCAGCCAGGTGCCCCTGGAGATACAGACTTATATTGAAGTATAATATGCCTGCAGAAGAATGCACATACCGTAAGTGAACGTTCACACACTGAATACACCTGTATACCTAATAACCATGTGGATAAACAACATTACCGCATCCTGTCTCATGCCCCTTTCCAATCACCACCACCCTCCCTGCTGTTCCCATTATCCTGACTTTTTTTTTTTTAATATATATTTTTTTATTTATTTCTAGGAGAGAGAGAGACAGCGTGAGCAGGGGAGGGTCAGAGAGAGAGGGAGACACAGACTCCGAAACAGGCTCCAGGCTCCGAGCTGGCAGTCAGCACAGAGCCCGATGCGGGGCTCGAACCCACGAACCACGAGATCATGACCTAAGCGAAAGTCGGACGTTTAACCGACTAAGCCACCCAGGCGCCCCTATCCTGACTTTTTAAAAAAGGTTTTGTTTTTAAATAATCTCTACACCCAGCATGGGGCTTGAATTCACAACCTGGAGATCAAGAGTTGCCCACTCCACCAATTGAGCCAGCCAGGTGCCCGTCCATTAGCCTGACTTTTAACATCATAGATTAGCTTTGTCTGTTTTATTTTTAAATGTTTATTTATTTATTTTAAGAGAGAGAGAGCATGCACGTGTGTGTGGGAGGAGAAGAGAGAGAGTGAGAGAGAGAGAATCCCAGGTAGGCTCTACATTGTCAGTGCAGAGCCCAACTCCGGGCTCAAACTCACAGTGAGATAATGACCTGAGGCAAAATCAAGAGTCGGATGCTTAACTGACTAAGCCACCAAGGCACCCCTGTTCTATCTTTTAATATCTTGTAGGACAGTCCCCCTCACTACTTGCTCCTTTCTTGCCATTCTTACTTTTTTTCTCCCTTATATGTAGATAAACATCAGCTATCTGTAAATCTATAGAAAACTAGGGGGATAGTATGATGACTTCCATCTACACATCACCCAGTTTCAGCAATGATCAACTAATGGCTTATCTTTTTTATCTGTACCCATTACCTCTGTAGGGGAGGAAAAAAATCTTTTTCCTGTACCTGCCTTAGGTACATTGGCTGGGGCCCTACAAATTAGGTTGACACAGACAAATTAGCTAGAAGAAAACAAACATGTAGAAGTATTTTTTTTTTGAAATTTATTTATTTTGAGGGGTACCTGGGTGGTTCAGTCAGTCGCAGTTCGTGAGTTTCAGCCCCCCATACAGCTCCGCACTGGCAGTGCAGAGCTTGCTTGGGATTCTCTCTGTCTCTCTGCCCCATTTGCTCTCTCTCTCTCTCTCTCTCAACATAAACAAAAATAATTTGTTTAAATTATTTTGAGAGAGAGTGTGAATGAGTAGGGGAGGGGCAGGGAGAGAGAAAGAATCCTAAGCAAGCTTTGCATTGTCAGTGCAGAGTCCAAAGTGGGGCTCAAACTCATAAACAGCTGAAGTCAAGAGCCAGATGCTTAACCGACTGAGCCACCTAGGCGACCCTCACATAGGAGTATTCAGTGATGAGTAACTCAAAGGGCTGGTTAGAACTTGAGCTTATATAGCATCTTAACAGGAGCAGTAATTTTGTACAGAAATGACAAGACAAAGGAAAAGCATTTTGTACTTCTAGGGCGGCCAGTTGTGTGATGATAAATATATCATGGTGGCTTAGTCGGTTAAGCTTAGTCGGAAAACTAATGGAAGGTGAAGGCTAGTGAGGAAACTTTATTATGGAGATTCCTCTGGTGCTGTCTCTGAGTGGATAAGGGTCTAGAGTTTTCTTTAATGATTAATTTCTGTCCTTGCTGATAGAGGCAAAGGGGAGCACTTTTACAAATTTATGTTTTAGCGGCACCTGGGCAGCTCAGTTGGTTAAGTGTCCAACTTCGGCTCAGGTCATGATCTCACACAGTTCATGGGTTCCAGCCCTGCATCGGGCTCTGTGCTGACAGCTAGCTCAGAGCCTGGAGCCTGCTTTGGATTCTGTGTCTCCCTCTCTCTCTGACCCTCCCCTGCTCACGCTGTCTCTATCTCTCTCAGAAATAAATTAAAAAAGTTAAAAAAATTTTTTTAAAAAACAAATTTATGTTTTAGACATATTGTGGGAGGGCAGAGAGTTTTTCTTGTATCTTCTCTCATTCTGACTACCTTTTACCTCCTTTTCGTTTATTTTAAAGTAAACTGCAGGTAGGGGTGCCTGGCTGGCTCAGTAGGTAGAGCATGTGACTCTTGATATTGGTGTTGTGAAAAACTTTTAAAAAGTAAAATAAACCACAGATAAAAAATACTATTGGTAATTTCTCAATCATATTAATTATGAGTTTAGGGAGAATTAAAACTTTAATATTTATATTAGGGTTTTTTTTGAGGAATGGTATATGCCTTTCCTTTTCCAAATCTTATTTTGTGTATCCTGAGAAGGTTATTTTTAGGTATTTCATCTTTTTTGTGTCTTTTCCTTTTTTTTTTTTAAATGTTTTATTCATTTTCGAGAGAGAGATAGAGACAGAGACAGCATGAGCAGGAGAGGGTCAGAGAGAGAGGGAGATACAGAATCTGAAGCACGCTCCAGGCTCTGAGCTAGCTGTCAGCACAGAGCCTGATGTGGGGCTCAAACCCATGAACCATGAGATCATGACCTGAGCCTTAGTCGGACACCCAACCAACGGAGCTGCCCAGGCGGCCCTCCTTTTTTTTTTTTTTTTTAAACGTTTATTTATTTTTTAGAGACAGAGTGTAAGTAGGGGAGAGGCAGAGAGAGAGGGAGACACAGAATCCAAACAAAGCAGGCTCCAGGCTCTGAGCTGTCAGCACAGAGCCCAATGCAGGGCTTTAACTCACAAACTGTGAGATCGTGACCTGAGCCGAAGTTGACTGCTTAACCGACTGAGCCACCCAGGTGACCCTATCTTTTCCTTTTTTAAAAAAATGTTTATTTATTTTGAGAGAGGGAACAAGCACATGTGGGTGGGGTAGAGAGGGAGAGAGAGAATCCCAAGCAGGCTCCATGGTGTCAGTGCAGAGCCTGACCTGGGGCTCTATCCCACCAACCTGGAGATCTTGACCTGAGCTGAAATCAAGAGTCGGACGCTTAACTGAATGAGCTACCCAGGTGCCCATCCTTATATTTATTTTATTTATTTATTTTTTATTTTTTATTTTATTATTTTTTTTAATGTAGGATTTTTTTTTTTTTTTACAAATAGTTTATTGTCAAATTAGTTTCTACATAACACTCAGTGCTCATCCCCAAAGTGCCCTCCTC